TCGAGTTTGACACCCCTGAGCTAGAGTGTAACAGAATTTGGGTTTCAGTTTGGATGTGTTCAGAGCCTTACCTAAATTATTTGTTTATATTTTTTTCTCATGATGCTCAATCTCCATTTGGGGTGAACTTTCCTATTTTAAATCTGTACATACTTACTGTTTCAGTATGTATTAGACTTATTAGAGGAAGTACTCTAATATTTTTTCAACACTGCTCTAACATTTGAAAGTTGTTAAGAAGAGATTTGACAACCATTTCTGGTATACGGTTTTCTGCCTGAGCAGGAAGTTGGACTAGAAGACCTCCAAGGTCCCTTCCAACTCTGTTATCCTGTTATTCCTCAGAAGGCCACACTTGTTTATGTTGCTATTTGCGGTTTTACGTGTTTTTTTTTTTAATAAAGTAAATACAATTTAAAGCAAACAATTCTGGTGACATCTTATTTCTTGTGGATGGTAATGTAATGTCCTAAATCTTTTCAAATTAGCTATCACTTCTTCACCTTTAACTGCCATTTTTCTTTCTTTTATACTACAAAAGGGGAGACATTTGGATGTTTTAGTCTGGCTTCTATCTCCCTGGCTGGGTGGAAAACAGAAAGTGATAGCAGCAAGTATCAGCAGAAATCATCCTTGTTCTATTTACCTAAGTTATCCCATTTGGGGCAGGCCAGATAGGAAAATGAGACCTTTTACAAGCAGCCATGTAAATACGCTGTTATTGTGTAACTGCAATCAGCAACAGTCAAAGGTTATTTTTTGAAAAATGAAGCCTATACAGGTTACTGGGTATTTGTAAACACACACAGGTAATCCAAAACATTTTTCTTCCAAATAGACCATGCTATTTCAAGATGATGAATGCTAAAAAATATTTCAATGATTTTCAAAGGTAAATTTTAGACCTCACAAATAGTTCTGTGAAGATGAATGTTTACCATGGTGGTGACCACAGATTCCTCTTTGTCTCTGTTGCTTCAAATACTGTTTATAAACAATCTCTTATAATAAGGGATAATAAGCTTGTCACCATATGTTCTTACTGTAATGATGCTATTAGTGTATGGATGTATGGTATGCATATGTACATGTGCACACATATGCAAAGGTTCCAGACTAATGCCGTGTAGACAGGTTGAACTACAACTCCTATAATTTCCTCATATTCCCATATATTTCAGGATGACAACCAGATTCCCCACCTCCACCCTCCCGTCACAGATCTGTCCATATCAGTTGTTTTGAGAAGAAAAAAGATTATGCTCATTGGATCCCTCAATTAGGCAACCCAGTGGGACGAGTCTATAAACCATTTTTCTGCTAAAATTACTTTCATTCATTTTGACAGCTCTACATTGAGAGTGGATTCTGGTGGGGTGGACTGATGCAGACGCTTGTCCAGTTTTGATGGATGAGTTTCATTTTGTTCACCCTGAGGTGGAGTATTGGACAAGTTGTTTGGAGGATGAGGACAAACACTTGTTTGCTAGAGCTTTGCTCAGTTCATCCTGCTTAGTAAAAACTGCCAGAGGGGAACTGTCTGGGTCGGTGGCAGGCAAGAGTAATGTCCAAGCAACTTTTCACAGAAGCATTTTTAAGCAAGATCCTGGGGTTAATGTTGGAAATCCAATTTCAGCATTCTGTGGGTGAAGATTATTTACACATACATTGCAATGTAAAACTGTCTCGGTTACTGTAGTCAATGCTCTGTGCTGGAAAACAGATGAAGTATAAAGAAGGACTAGAGGTGACACGATAATAGTATTCCAGTATTTGAAGGGCTACCACAAAGATGAGGGGTTCAACTTATTTTCCAAAGCACTGGAAGGCAAGAAGCATTGCATGGAAACTAATCAAGGAGAGAAGCAACCTGGAATTAAGGAGAAACTTCCTAACAATGAGAACATTTAACCAGTGGAATGGTTTGCCTTCAGAAGTTATCACTGGAGGCTTTTAAGAAGAAACTGGACAGCCACTTGTCTCAAATTGTATAGGGTCTTCTGATTGAGCAGGGGGGCTGAACTAGAAGACCTCCAAGGTAACTTCCAGCTCTATTCCGATTGATTGATTAATATTCCATCCTGCTTAGTTCTGCTACACCATTCCCAACAAATTTGATACAATCCATCATGGTATTTTTCTGGAATATTTGGCTTCTATGGGATTTATTGGCACTGATTTGCAGCAATCCTGGTCCTATTTGACTGAATGTACTCAGAAATGCTGGGTACTGTTGCTCAGCATCCTGGACATTATTACAATTTTTTTTTTTAGAGATGGCTTTGGTTCTCTAAGCAATTACCATCTGAATGAAGCCACTAAAAGATAATAAAGGGTCTGGAGATTGAATGCCATTAGTAATTTTAGTGGAGTCTTCTTCATAACAGATGCTAAGGAGTTTGTTGAAAGCCTGGAACATTGAATGGACACTGTATGGAATGGTTAACAGATGTACAAGTTTTTTTTTTCTTATCAATATTTATCCCTTTATTTAATTTAACAGCATTTACAGATCACTCTGACAGCTTCTCTTATAAAGGGAATCTTCTACATGCTCCATTCATCTGCCTCTGGAGAGTGTAAATGTTCCATCAAGACTCATGGTACATCTGTGCATTTGTAATTGTGAGATCCAAAGTATTAATAAGCACACACACACACAAACCCACAAACCTTTGTGGGAAACAATCCAAGGGTAATATCTGAATACTTCACTTTCCATTAACATTTAAAAGTTACATTCTTCCATCCAAAATAGACCCATGCATACCATATTTTTTTTTAATGAAGTCACTGGGCAGAAATTATAAGGTTCTAAGAATTACTTTCTTATCATCTCTCCCCTCCTTTGCCACTTCCTTCTTTTTCCAAATACTAAAGCCTATTTTTCAAAAAAAAAAAAAAAAAAAAACACCTCAAAGATTTAAGTACTTTACCTATTTGGTAAAGCTCTGGAAGATTCATGCATGTCAAAGCACATAGACCACCACCCAAACCCCCCCCCCCCATACCTTATAAGATTTAAAAGTTTTCCGCCTTTAGTTTACACTTTGGAAGCTGATTTGTGGGAGGGGAGAATATCTGATGATAACAGACTAACATTAGAGTAATGGGAGGAGAATGTATTGCAACTATGAGAATCTTTAAGAATCACACCAAGAGATACCTGTGACTAATGTAGTCCTGCTAGAGATGAGGACAGTTTGAAACAGCATAAAGGCCTATGAACATGGCTTAATTAGAATTCTTGATGGGATAGCCAAAAAATGAACTCATATAGAACAGAATATAACAGGCAGATATTGCTTCCAAGAATTCTCTTGGGATAGATAGATAGGATAGATAGATAGATAGATAGATAGATAGATAGATAGATAGATAGATAGATGGGAGATGATGGGAGATGGGAGATGGATAGATAGATAGATAGATAGATAGATAGATAGATAGATAGATAGGGAGGGAGGGGAAGAAAGAGATGGAGAGAGAGGGGGGGAGGGAGGGAGGGAGGGAGGTGCACATTGGGCTTAAGTCCATATTGAAACCTGATTGCCTAAAGGGCAACCCTCAGTTTCAAAATAAAAATCAGCAAAAGGACCACTGCTTGATAAATATTGAAGGAGGAGGAGGAGGAGGAGGAGGAGGAGAATGGGAATAGAGAGAGCACAACTAAAAATGTGAGTAAAAATGTAACTGAAGTAGAACTGAAGAAGCTTCTTCGATGAGAAGGTGAAATGTCTTCAAAAAAAGACCAAAAAGTCCAACTGCCTTTTGAAAACACACCTTTGGGACAACCATGACCTGGATGACCAAAAATCTCCACAGACATATCTAGTAGGAGACTACTTAAATCAGTGTTTGTGATCATGGATGTGCTTTAAACTACCTTTACCTCAACTTTAATGGGAATTTGGTATGCCCCTTATTCATGCCAGTTCCATAACACAGCATCTAATTTACCCTTCATTTATTTCAAATTGCATGTGCTTAAATAATTAATATTTGTTATTCTACAATTCATTTATCTTGCCATTTATAATAAAAGGTGGGTTTTTAAAATCATAAGCCTTTTTTTCCCTCCATTAGAAATCAAATTCAATTTTTGTAAACTTCAATAAATCCAAACTAACAATTAATGCCACTAGGAGGGGGTGGGGATAGAATCAATAATCCTCAAATTCAGCATTGCAAATCCTCTTCAAAGACTCACGCTAGTTCCTTGTAATTCCTCATGCTCAGAAAGACAACCCCCCCCTCATACTTTCAAAGCACTGTGACAAATAAACTTTAACCAGTCAACAATGTCACACTGATTTGTTCTCCCTCGTTCCCTCCCCGAAATACTTCTAGGACCGTATAATCCACCGATCTCCGCTTGATTGTATCATAAAGAAGCATCCGAATAGGCGGCAATTTAAAGCCAAAGGAAGGACAAACATCTCCTTGAATTTGAAGGTGTCAACTCTCCTTAACATCCGAATCCGGCGTATATTGCTTTGCTGTTGCAATATACAAAAAAACACACGCACCCTGACACACACACCACACCACAAAAGATTCCCAAGCGGCATTCCCATGCACGGTTGGGGTGAGGGCAAGCGAGTTTCCTCCTATTTTGGGGGGGTGGGGGCTCAGAAGGATCCAGAGCTGCGATGGGGAGGAAACAACGGACTCTGGCGAGGAAGCTTTCTCACTTGGGGGGCGGGGTGGTGGTGGTGTTGGGTCTACAGGGGGTTTCCTTCCCGCTCAGCAGGTGGATTATCAGGAGAACCTTAGATTTTTCTCCAGCTTCCACAGGCGCCTTTTGTTAGGGGGAAAGGTCCTGTCCAGTTCTCTTACATTTTTCTCTTCACAGCATCTCTCAGCCCTTGGGACCCCCCCCAAATCTGTCCCCACCCCCCTTTGCACCTCAAAACGCTCCTTGCAGTAAATTTCGCCCCCAAACAGGTGCGAAAGGGGTGCCTCCTCCCCCTTTCCCCTTCCCCTTCTCTTCATCTTACCTTGCCACTTGAGGGGTGTGTTGACGGGAGCTGTTCGCAGCGTTGCCGGGTTGGGGGGCGCGCGCGGGAGAGGGGTGCCAGCGTGTGTCTGTGTCTGACTGTGTGTGTGTATGTGTGTGTCAGGGAAGCGGTTGGAGTTTGCAACGGAATTCGGCTGAGGGCAAGAGCGCTCGGGAGCCCGTCCCAGCTTGCTAAATTAATCACTTTTGCTTCTTTCTTCTTTTTTTTTTTCCCGCGAAAGGGGCGGGAGCTAGGAAGAGAAGAGGATGGGAAAAGGGAGGAGAGAGAAAGAGAGAGGGAGAGGAGGATGAAAAATCTCAAGCCTGGAGAAAAGAGGAAGGTCCCTCCGTGACTGGCATCAATATCTCCTTCGGCGGAGCTTCAAGGGAGTCATGGCAACGAGCCCCTAAACCTCCCCAAATCTTTCTCAGCTACACACGCACACGCGCGCAAGCATGCACGCACACACACACATGCACAAACTGCTCCTGCTGGTGCTGCTGCTGTGCCTGCTGCTGGTGCTCCGGGGAGGAAAGGGGGGGGGAGACAGCCTCCTCCTTTCCCTTCCTCCCTCCCTCCCTCCCTTGTACCCAACCCACTCCCCCCCCCATCCCTCCGCCTCTGCGAGGTTGGAGAGACACCGAAAGCGGGGAACGAGCTGAATTCCCTGGGAATTCTCCCCCGGCCTTCTGCTATACTAGGAACTTGCTTGAAGCCTGGCAACCTGGAAAAGGGCGTCTCCGGACGCTTACCTGGAAATTGGAGAAGGGCTGGTGGGGGCGCGTCCCTCTCCGGACCCGGGCGACTTGTCCGCTTAAACCCTATGGCTGACCTGGCCTGAGCCGCTTCGGAGGCTCTTCCCTCCGGTTAGAAGCTGATGGACACCTGAGAACGGGCTGGCGGGCGGTGGGTGGGAAGAAGAGGGCTTTACATCCTGCCGACTTTCCAATTCATCCAGGTGTCAATCTCTTTATACGCACACACCACACACACACAAGCACAAGCAGAGTGGTTGCTTTCTCAAAGAAAAATGCAACGGGGAGAAAGCGATAGGCTGACACGTATGTACATATACACGCTTACCTACCCACCCACCTACCTACCTATTTACCTACCGGATCAGAAACAACCAGGTAGGATCTCCTTCCAAGGTTCCCTAAGAATCAAACGAAGATTCCTTAAACAGAAAGGAGAAAGGAGAGGGAGGGAAACCTTCCCAATTCTCTTCGGTTCGCCTCCTTCCTAACGACCATTTTCTGAACTCCGAAGGATTAAGACCCAGAAAGGGGAGACTTGAAGCTAGAGGTGTGTGTGTGTGTGTGTGTGTGTGTGTGTGTGTGTGTGTGTGTTTGTTTTTTGTTTTTTGTTTTGGAGGAGGGGGGTATTTTTGGCAAACAACAGCGAAGGGGAAGGAGAGAAAAGTCACACACGGGGCCCTGCATCTTTCTCAATCAAGAATTGGGGGGATATTCTGTAAAAGAAGGCGTTTCATTTCACACGTGTGCACACCCAGGCAGAAAATATCCTAGCCGCACCAAACCCACCGGGCGTTACCAAGAGCAACAAGAACCTCCTCAGGGAGAGCGCCATACCTTGAGGAGAAAAGAAAAAAAAAAAAGCAGCAGAGTTGTGCTCCTTCAGAACAGCTGTTTGTAGCAGTGCAGAAAATGAAAAACCAGATTAGAGAAGGCAGTGGGTGCCTGCCTGGAATCAAAGGTGCAGAGATGTTTCTTTTTGCACAGCTGGTCTCCAAGTCACACAGACCAATACATACCCTTTCTCCCCCCCCCTTTTTTTTTTTTACAGGGAAATCATGAAATGCCAGCCTCCCTTCTCCCTCCCCCAACTGCCCTAAACTAAATGCACTGCAAAAAATCCAGTCCTGGCATGTTCTCATGCTTCATAATATGTTCAGGTATCTGCCACACCCTGCCACACTTGAGGAGCAGAGGCAGAAGGGAGGGTTGTTTCGGAAGTTCACTAGAATTGGGTAGAAGAGACATTGTGAAAGATGGTTGGAGAAGATGACTATTAGTCCCTAACTCTTTTCTCCTTTCCTTCTACACACACATATAAGATATACATATATCTTTTTCTTAGGAAACATTAAGCAAGTCTTTTAAACAAGTGAAAGGAAATAAATGTAGCGTCTCTAGTCTGAACTAATTAGAATAGCATTTGGATTGGTGGATTTAATTCTAGAATTTACTGGTTTTTTTCCTTGAATGGCCAATGGAAAGCATTAAGCCAAAGTGAGAAAGCACGATTATATTCTGTAAATATCATCTTCAGATGACCAGGATCATCCTTCCAAATTGCCATTGACAAAGGTTTCAAAGCTTGCTAATTTGTTTCCATCATGTACCATGTTTACTGTCAGCTACTTAAAAGAGAAGTTTCCAAGTGATCATAAATGTGCACGGGTCATTTTTTTTAGGTTTTGAAGAATTCTTGATGGGCACAAAGTCATAGGAAGACTTATTATTACATGAAGTCATAAAAGCTCATTACATTGAATATAACATAGAATAGAGTTAGAAGGGACCTTGAAGGTCTTCTAGTCCAGCCCCCTGCTCAGGCAAGAGACCTATACTGTTTCAGACAGGTGGCTGTTCAGTCTCTTCTTAAAAACCTCCAGTGATGAAGCACCTACAAGTTCTGAAGGCAAGCTGTTCCACTGGTCTCACTGTTAGGAAGTTTCTCCTTAATTCCAGGTTGCTTCTCTCCTTGATTCATTTCCATCCATTGTTTCTTCTCCTGCCCTCTGATGCTTTGAAAAATAATTTGCCCTCTTCTTTATGGCAGCCGCTCAAATATTGGAATACTGCTACCATGTCATTTATTTGATTGCCACTATGACTTAAATGAAGCTCAGACATTCCAAGCTGTTCTAGAATTCTATAATGTAAGCTGTCAACATAAGGAGGAAAAAGGCTATGTTAACATGTTCCTTTGAATCAGTGGTGAAATCTAATTTTTTTTATTTATTTGTTTAAATTTATTTGTTTAAATTTCTAAATTTTTAGTACCTGTTCTGTGGGCGTGGCTTGGTGGGTGTGACATGGTTTGGTGGGCGTGGCAGGGGAAGGATACTGCAAAATCCCCATTCCCCCCTCACTCCTGGGAGAAGGAGACTGCAAAATCTCCATTCCCACCCCACTCCAGGGGAAGGATACTGCAAAATCCCCATTCCCTCCTCACTCCTGTGGGAAGGATATTGCAAAATCTCCATTCCCACCCTACTCTGGGGCCAGCCAGAGGTGGTATTTGCTGGTTCTCCGAACTACTTAAAATTTCCGCTACCGGTTCTCCAGAACTTGTCAGAACCTGCTGGATTTCACCCCTGCTTTGAATACTTTTCCTAGAATTCCTGTACATTATCCTGATGGCCCCAAAGTTAAGCTGTTCAAAAATCAAGCTACACAAAATGCAGAAATTCTAAAGGGCTGTTGAAAAACAGAGAGGAAAATATCCCTCTCTGTAAAGACAGATTCCCTTTACATGTTCCCATGTAAATCGCCACAGAACTGCCCTGCGGTTAGCAGGGTGCTACTACAACTGTTGTGGCAAACCTCTGAAGAACCAGATTGTTACAAATGGAAAATGAAAATCCTATTGCCCCTTCTGTAATCCTGTAGCAGTAATGGGCATATTTTTCCCCATGCAAAGACCATGTTTTCCTTTGAAGGATATCAAAGACATCTGGAGGCACATCCTGGCAGTAACAAAGGTCTGGGCCACAACTGAGAGATGAGGCAGAGGGGGGTATGATAATTTTAGGATTGATTTCTTCACATGTTCAGACCCAACACCCCCAAACATGCATCATTATCCCTGTTCTATAATCTGATCAACAGAAAATAGGAGACTGAATTGTAGATTGAACTTTTCCCCTGCTGCTTAATTGGAAGCTGCTAATGGGATGCACAGCAGAATTCTGGGCAGCCACACCTTTTCCTACAATAGGCTGATCAATGGGAGGTATCATGAATGTAAGTGACATGGTAGCTTCTTAATTGACCAGTTCTACATTAGGGGTAGCAGTTTGGTAAAATTTCAGACTTCAGACACCATTTGATCAATTCAGAGAACTAGGTTCAGGGTTATAGAAATTACTTGGGTTATTATGTTGATGCCTGCCTTGGTTCCTAGACTAAAACAAAGCAAAGCCTCTCATTATCTAACATGGGAAAAACACTTGGGAGAACATTATGAAATTTGCAGTGAAATTGGTCATATCCTGAGAGATTTTCAAAGCAATTTTATATAGGCAGATCATCATTATTATTATTTTTGTTCAAAGACAGAGGGTAGAAGTGAATAATAATACAATTTCTTGAATGTGATGCTGTTGTTTCTTGAGGTTTATGAGTGATAGAACCATAAGAAGCCAACTGTTTTTCACAAAAGACAACAATTATTATGCTTGTATTGGAAACTGGCTAAGTTACTGACATACAACTGCGAAGGAAGGAAGGAAGGAAGGAAGGAAGGAAGGAAGGAAGGAGAGAGAGAGAAAGAAGAAAGAAGAAAGAAAAGAAAGAAAAGAAAGAAAGAAAAATAAAGAAAGAAAGAAAGAAAAGAGAAAAGAAAAGAAAAGAAGAAAAGAAAAGAAAAGAAAAAAGAAAAGAAAAAATAGAACAAACAGTAAAATGAAGTTTTTTATCCTAGGATCGCCCCTACTCAAAGTCCTGTGATTGAGGTAACCAGTGGTGATCTAATTGTAATGATCACTGACAATTGATTCTGTTAATCAATTAAAGACACCTTCACTCACCGTTTCCATCATGAGATTTCATATAAAAGATGACTATCAATACCATTGTTGTGAAGATTGAAGGTGGGAGAATAGAGTCTCATATAAAACCATAAAGTTATATATTGCAAATCTATTCACCAGGGAATCAGATGAAATTACAGCAGCAGTGCCATGATTCAGCAGACCCTTGGGAGTGATGAGCACATTGCCAGGACAGCTTGTAAAAGCCAGCAATAGTGGCAGGAGCTGACAATGATAGGCAGTGAAAGCATCTATCACTGCATTGATACTTGATTAGCTCACTGGAGTATCTGTTGATGAGGTAGCTTTTCATTACATCTTTTTTATAGTCTACTTTTTATAGTCTGCTGTCTACTTTTTATTATATATGGATTGTTGTATGCTGCCCAGAGTCAGTTCTTGTGAGATGGGTGGCTATATAAATTTGAAAATGAAATAAATAATTTTTATTTTTAAAAGTTAACCAATTTATACTTTACTCTTTCCTTCCCAACATGAGACTTGTCCAGCTCAGAACTCATTCTGGATAAAACCCACAAGCCATACTGAATAAATACTGAATAAACCATTCTGAATATATATGTGAAGTGGGACCGATGTAAGAAGTTTCCTGCTGCCTCTTCCTTTGAGTGTTCATCTAGTTCGAAATGGAAAAGAGGAAAACAGAGAAGGACAGACAGGTGGCAGATGGAAGGGAATAAAAAGTTTAGCAACAGGATCTTTAATTTTGCTGATCCTGATACTGG